GGACTTCATGACCCATGGAACTTCTGGATAGGCTAAACCCTGCAACCCCAATCCTTAATCATCCCAAACCCCAAACCCGAAAACTCCCCACCCCCCAGGACCCAGGTGCCCCTTCAAACCCCTAACTGCTTGTCTCTTATGCCCCAGTCAGGCACTATTTTGGTTTTAGGGGTGGGGGGGTTTAGGGCGCTTAGGGACTACCGAGGAAAGCCTAAGCGTCTTTGAGGCTCTTTGGCCTGTCCTCGTAGCCCTGAGTCCGACCTCTGCATGGGGAGGGGAGGGTTCCAGCGCGCACTTGATGGGTAATTCAATTGGAAGCTTTGCACGTGCAAGAAATCCTTCCCCCACCCCAACCTCACAATGCAAAGACCCTCACCATCATCAACATCCGGCCCGAAACCCTGCAGCCTGAGCGGTGGAGGGTTTAGGGTTTCAGGCTTAGGGCGGCCTTACAGCGAGCTCGGCTGCGTGCCTGTGGTCCGATGACGTGGATAGCGGCACGCAACACGTCAGCAGTGGAAGCGATGGAGCCTGGTCTCGTGTCTGTTTGGCTATACCAACTGTCTTGCCGCAACCTGCAGCATGCAGAGGAAGTCGTGTCTTTCCAGACAAGTTGTGGCCGAACCGCTGAACCCTAAGCAACTATGCCTTGTAACTTCATCCCGCTCAACCAACACCCTGAATCCCTAAACCCACACCTGACAACCAATCCACCGAGGCCTGGGGCCGAAGGTGTCTGGGTTGCACAACGCAGGCACCCCACCTCCCCCCCCAAACCCACCCCCACCCCTAGCTCCCCCTTCACCCCCCCCCCCCCACCCCCCGAGCTCCCCCACCCCCAGCGCCCCGCCCCACCCGCGCCCTCTCCGGTTGGGGCTGCCTCGTTGCAAAACCTAAGGCCAAGGCGAATCGCATATCGTGAAAATTCAAACATTAACCCCTAAACCCTAAAACTCCCCGAGCTGAGACCCGCCTAAACCCTAAACTCCAAAAACCGCAACTCAGGCTCACACCCCCAAGCCTACGCACGACAAACTAAACCTTAAACATCCTTAAACACGCTTAAACACGAAACCCTAAACGTCCGTAACCCCAACCTTGATTGCCCTATCTCCGAAGCCCGCTATACACACCCTAAACCCTAAACCCAGATCTAGGGCTTCAGGTCCTACGAAGACTTTCCAACGAGCCTACTTATAGGGTTCAGAGCGTCAGCTCTTTTAATCATGGTCCCCTCTTTATCACGGAGCCCGATTTAGGCAGCCAGCAAGGGATAAGAATGTACAGAGAGAGAGAGAGAGAGAGAGAGAGAGAGAGAGAGAGAGAGAGAGAGCGAGAGCCGCCCTTGTGATAGTCTAGGATGTACAAGCTCAAACGTTATAGGCCTTAGGTCTCAGGGCTTGGGTTTTAAAGTTTGGAGTTTAGGGTTTAGGGCTAGGGCTTAAGGTTTAGGATTTAGGAATCTAGGGTTCAGGTTCAGGCTCAAACTCTACATCCTTGCGGCGAAGGCGCCCGCCACCACGCAGTCGGCGGCGCCCGCGCGCAAGAGCGTGGCCGCGTAGTACAGTGGCGCCTTGGCCAGCCACGCCTTGGCTGGGAGGGCGTCAAGGAGGTTGTTCGGGTTTGGGGGGTGCAGGGTTTAGGGTTTAGGGTTTAAGGTTTGCGGATTAGGGTTTAGGGGTTAGGGTTTAGGGTTTAGGGCTTGTGTTTACGCTTGAGTTTGGTTTCTGTACGAGATGATGAAACCGCAACAAGATTGGCATACTTCGACATGTGTATAACAGTGCCCAATTACGTGGAATGCTTGTGTTACTTTTGAATGTTTGTATCTGGCTTTAACAATGATCCAAATGCAACTCATTAATCGTTCGATATGTTCACTTGGATTATCTTCAAGACCCAAAGATGTTAAATGCTATGGGGCGTTAAGGGTTTTGGGGTAGCCCCCTACATGATCCTGCCACAGATCTATGTGAGCTTGGGAAGTTGAGAGTGGAAAGAGGGTTTGGGGCTAAGGAGTTTTGGGAGTCTATGGGGCTTAGGGCGAGAGAGTTTAAGCTTGAAGTCCTAAACCCTAATCCCTAAACCCCAAACCCGGAAACTCCAACAAAAAGCCTGACAACACCCTGAAACCTGAAACCCCTACCCTAAACCCCAAGAGCGGAAACTCCTAAACCCTAAGCCCTAAAGCTTAAAACCCCAAACCCTAAACAAAAAACCCGGAAACTCCAACAAAAAGCCTGATTAGACCCAAGAGTAACCTAGGAAACGAAAGGGTACCATGTTAGGTTTAAAGGGAACCTATACCCTAAAAAAAGGGAATAAGGGCCTACACTGGGCCTTAGTAGCCCTAAACCCTAAACCCTAAACCCGAAACCGAAACCCTAAACCCTAAACCCTAAACCCTGAAACCCGATTTCCGCTCCCGTGCCTTGGCCTCCTCTGGGGGGATGCCTTGGCCTTGGGCTCAGGCTCTGTTTAGGGCTTTAGGGTTTTAGGGGTCCAGGGTTTAGGGTTTAGGGTTTGGGGTTTAGGGTTTAGGGTTTCGGGCTTAGGGTTCCTAAACCCCAAATCCTTAACCCTAAGCCCTAAATCCTAAAGATTGGACTCCAAGCCGTGCAAGTACAAGACGGAGATCTCAAGGATCAGGGTCCAGTAGGCTCAGGGGTTGTGGGCCTTGCAAACTGCGAGTTAGGATTTAAGGCTGTAGCCCTAAATGCTAAACCGCAATAAAGACACGCGTTCTGGAGCCGAGTCGCGGGTCAGACGCGGCTGCAACGTTGCAGCCAACGTTTCCAGACCTCGACCGCAAGGTTTAGGGTTCAGGGTTTATAGGGTTTAGGGTATAGGGTTTAGGGTTTAGGGTTTAGGGTTGAGGGCTTAGGGTTTAGGGTTTAGGGTTTAGGGTTTGTCATGATGATGGTACAGTACACTGAAGCACCCAGCATCCTATCAAGAGAGCGCAAGAAGCTACCGGGAGGCCGGAGAACCTTGAAAAAGCAATCTGCTGCGTTTTGGCGCGCGCGGGGGGAACATCAACCCCTATGCCCCAAACCCTCAACCCTGAACCCTGAACCCAAACCCTTCAAACCCCTAACCGCAAACCCGAAGCCCAACCCCTTCAACCCCTAAACCCTAAACCCTTCAACCCCCCGAACCCTAAACCCTAAACCCTAAACCCTAAACCCTAAGCCCTAAGCCCTAAGCCCTAAACCCTAAACCCTAAACCTAACCCGCTCGGGCCAGGCGGCGGCTGTCGCGGCTGGGGACGAGGACTTCGACGCCGGCGGGCACGTCCGAGGCCTGCGTCTTGGCCCCCCAACGGGTTTTAGGATTTAGGGTTTAGGGTTTAGGGTTTAGGGCTTAGGGTTTTAGGTTTGGGGTTTAGGGATAACAAAGGGAACTCTCTTTTGGGGGGCTTAGGTTTTGGGGTTAGTTAGTTTGGGATTCCGGTTTCGGGGTCAAGGGCTCACCACACCAGAAACACCCAAACCCCAAAAAATGGTTTTGGGTGAAGGGGGTTGAAGGGTTGATGGGTTGATGGATCGAAGTTGAAGGGTTGATGGGTTGATGGATTGAAGGGTCGAAGGTGGTTGAACTACGAGCCATGAGGACACTCCGATCCTGCACACCTTAGAGGTTTCAAGGCCAAGTAATGAGCCCAGGCAAGCTCCCGCTGCAGCAAACTCCCCGACCCACGACCCCAAAGCGCGACCCAGCCTGAGCACCGAAACAGCTAGCAGCTCTCCATCTGGTCCACACCAAAGTTCTGCGTTAAGGATTCAGGATTGGGATGTTCCCCCTTGTACTACCAGCCCTTAAAAGGGGTTCTAGTACCCCCCTAGTAGAATCCATGGTAATGTAAGCCTAAACCTGAGCTGCCATCGCCTTGAGATCGCCCGAGTCGATCAGAACCGGGGCCGCCAACTTCTCGCTCGAAAGGATGCGCGCGCACTCGCGGACGCGGGGATCCTCTTGGGACTCCAGGGCGTCGGGGCTTCAGGGCTTCGGTTCGAGGAGGGCTTCGGTAGCCCTGGAAGTCTCCCCCACATGCTCAACACCAACGGCCTTCAGCTTTGCAACAGAAACCGCAGATGGAGAAACAAAAGAAAATGAGAACTCCGCATGCTGCCCTCGCCTGAGCTTCTGGCAGCAGCACGCGCGCAAGCGCCTCGCCGGAAGAAGCAGGAGCACAGGGAGTTCAGGATTTGCAGGTTTGGAGGTTCCTAAGGCCTAAATGGCACCTCTAACCTTCATCTTGCAGGAGTTGGGCTCTGCGACTCTCAAGGACTCTTGCTTGCAGCTCACAGCTTCTGTGGGAAGTTGTCAGGCGAGCTCGCCCTCTATCCCTCCAAAATGGAAGGCCGTCCTACAGCCCCAAAGCCTAGTGGTCAAAAGGTGGAGGTCACAAGGTGGATTGCCGAATCCCCAAACCCTGAGCATAGGGTTAGCCTTCAGTTCTCGGTAATTCAACGGTCAATTTTATCATAGCTACCCGAGTTGAAGAAATCGCTTCTTTTTTGATTCAGGGTTTGGGGTGTAGGCTTGGGGCTTTGGATTGAGGATGCAGGGTTTGTCCTGAGGTTTTGAGGTTTTTCTTGCCTCGGAATCCCAAGCAAACCCTCAACCCTGAACCCTAAACCCTAACAAATTCTTGAACCCCTAAGCGTGGTAGCAAGGGTAGAAGAAGCACTTCCCCTAAACCCCAAAGACCCCTGCAGACTTTGATCTGGCTTCCCCTGGCGCGCGAAACCGATGGGGGCCACCATGTGGCGGCCCAACTGAAACGGTCCCCTACAAGCCCTCAACTCACGATGACTCCCACGGGACGGGATGAACGTTAGCGTCAACCATCCTCACCCTGAACCCTGACCCTCTGAGATTAGTTTCATGGCTCTGAATATGGTCCCTAACCTCCTTTGACGGGTTCTGATGCATGGAGCCGAAGCTAAGGGACCATGGAACTACCCTTAGAAACCCCTAAATCCTAAGCCGTGTGCTCAGAGGTCGGTCTCGGGGAAGGCGACGCCACCAAGCAGGAGCGCGGTAGTCAAGCCCCCAAAAGCCTTCGGTTCTTCGGGGATCCCTAGTGCCGAAACTCCCCCAAAGCACAAAAGCCCTAAACCCTAAACCCGAGACCCTAAACCCGAAACCCTAAACACGCAAACTTGAACCCCTGAACTCGAATCCTTGTGTTTGGGTTCCTGCCCGGACCTTGGCACCCGTGTGCTTGTTGTGGAACGCGTGATCTTTCCTGTGCTGCAGTTCAGGCTAGGGTGTGTTGGGGTTTGTGGTTTAGGGTTTAGGATTTAGGGTTTAGGGTTTAGGATTTAGGGTATGATTAGTGAAGCACAATGGGTATAGAAAACAAACCGTCAAACCTATTTTCTAGACCCTTGACGGAGTAAGCAGTCAACCCTACTACTCTCTATGAATTCAGAACCCAGTAAACATTGACACCTCAACTTTACGCCCGAATCCCCGAAACCTTGTTCGAACCGCTTTGTCTTAGTTGGCACCATGTGGTTCAGGTCTTCGAGCTTCAGGCGTTAAAGACCTACGTGGGAAACGCATGTGTCGGTGCAAAAGGTTCGCACCTTGTTGACATAGCAGTACCTCAAGTAGTGCTGTGTCGGTGCTAGTTTTGTCGAATAGATAGGCTAGGTGTGTATTCGCCTCACGCGCTGCTTCTCACCTGCACTCAGCAAACGCACGCTGCCAAAACAAGCCATGCCTCTCATACCCAAAGAGGCTCAGGGTCGTGCACAGTGATGCACAGGGAATCGCCATGATCCGTGCCCAGAAGACCCGGTCTGCAGCATCACCCACAGCACAGGACCTGCCAAGGGTAGGGTGTGGGGTTTTCGGCCCCGGCAGGGAAAGGTTGTACCCCTTACCACCCCAATAACCAAAGCCAAATGATGGAGAAAAGAACTAAGGGCGTGGCAGAAATTCCTAGCCTCAAGTGCTGGCGATACTTTGGGGTTCAGGGCTTAAGAGGGGGGGTGCTGCATGTATAGTATGGCACGAAAGTTGTACATAATTACACCTAAGTATTGCCAAGCTGCCTTGCTGCTAGACCAGCTAGCGACAGCACCGTCATTTCGAAGGCGACGAGAAAGCGCTTTGCGATAGGATGAAACTTCCTGGGGAGGGGGCAGGGGGAGGGGGGGAAGGAGGAGGTAAGGGAGCTTAGGGGGTGTAAGTGTTTAGGACCACAGGCTTGCTAGTTCTGGACTCAGGAGTGCACTCCGAAGACTAAAAACCCAAACACAAAGCACCAACACCCTAATCTCAAGGCAGCAGCCCTTTCAAAACGATCGATGCTCTAATCCCCCCTACATACCCCTGTGCTGCATGTGCATGTTCTGAAGCCCTGCACCCTAAACCCTTTCATCGACATAAGATGTTCAGAGGCCAATCAACCCGAGGAACTCGTTCGGGGCCAATGCCCCCGTCTTCCGCACCAGCCACTCTGCGCGGAAGATCATCCTGGGTGTTTCATGGTTTAAGCTGGAGGTTGTAGGGGTCTTGGGGTTAGGGTGTAGTGTTTGGGGTTTAAGCTAAACCCGATATGGAGATGTGCCGCCCACCCTACACCCTACCACGCTTCTGGTAGGGTTTGCCGACCCTTCGATGCGTTCTTTGGGGGGGACGGGAGGGGGGCACGGGAGGGGGGGTCTAGGGTTCGGGCATGTTAGGGTTCAAGGTTAAAGGTTTCGGGTTACAGAGTTTAAGAGGGCTGCTTAAGGGGTGATCACCGAAACCAGCCCAGCATCACCGGCGAGATGATGAAAGAGGCTCCACACGCGAGCACGAGAGCAGCAGTCGTGAAGCCGCGCGACATTGGCGGCAGCTCCCGTTGCAACGCACTTCCAGGCCAGAAACTCGCTCGAAACCGCGGCAAATGTTAGAATGTGGACCCGGAAGGGCTTCTGAGGGTGTGGGGGTGTGAAGATGTAAGGCTTAGAACCCGGGAGGTCTTAAAAGGCCCGAAACCGCAAGTTTTGGGTATAGCGTAACCGGGATATACGAGTAGATATCCAATGGTTTGGCATATGGCTTTCTCAAGATGGCTGAGGGAGGTTGCCAAACCCGGCGTGTGGGGCGCCTAGGGCCTAGGGCCTAGGGCATAGGGCTTAGTTAGGGCTTAGGGCTTAGAGCTTAGGGTTTAGGTTTTAGGGTTTTGGGTTTAGGAGGGCTTAGGGTTTAGGGTTGGGTTCCAGCCCGCAGGGCTAAGGGTTTTCGAGGCTTTGGAGGCTTCGGGCTTGCTTTTAGGATACAAGGCTTCAAGAGCAAAGTCCAGAGCTGATCTGGGGTTTTTAGGGCGTTTAGGGTTTTTAAGGCTTTTAGGGTTTGTTTAGGGTTTTTGTTTGGGTTCTGGGGGTGTTTCGGGCTCAGGGTTCTTAGGAGCTCAGGCTGGGCGATCTCATCCGTGCCTCCCGTGCCGCCGCCTTCTCGCGGACGCGCTGCGTGAAGGAGGTGCTGAAGCACCGGACCTGGGGGTCCACCAGGGTTCAGGGTGTAGGTTTTAGGGTTTTAGTGTTTAGGGTTTTTGGGTTTAGTATTTTAGGGTTTAGGAGGGTTTCGTGTTTAGGGTTTTAGGGTTTAGGGACGTTTAGGGTCTAGGTTTTCGGGCTTGGAGTTCAAGGTTTGGTGGGGGGGGGGGAGCATCTCACCACGCGGCAGAGGGTGAGCAGGACAGACGGTAACCCACGAAGTAGGGCATGCGGTGTTGTTCTACAGGCACAGCCCCCACACGCCGTAAGCTTCCATGGGCTTCACCCGAATTGCTTTCTGCCGGCTCTCGAGCCTTCGACTCAGAACTTGCAAAACCCTCGCGCCACAACCCTAAATCCTAACACCTGCCTGTGATAAGGACCTGCAGCCAGCGCTCACGAGGTTTGGGGGGACAGGGTGGGGGGCGGGGGTGGGGGGGGCGTGTCCTGAAGTCTTCCATAGACTGGGTTGTAGCTGCCAGTTAGGGCTTTAGAGGTCAAAACAGCAGCAAAAACCGTAAGGCGGTGAAAGCCAGCCAGAACAACCCCAACACCTGCAAAAACTTTAACGAGAACCCTAAACTTTACCAAAAAAAGTCCTTAACCCTGAGAACCCTTTCGCAATACCCAAACGAACCCTTAGCTTAAAACATCGAAAGCCCACCGAAAACAGCCTTAAACCCTAAAACCCTAACAGTCTCCAAACCCTCCCAATCCTACCGCTCAACTCACTAAACTAGTTCCTAGCAGCTTGGGGAAAAGAGGTACCATTCACCCCCCCTTCGTCACTTACGCCTTTGGGGTTTGGGGACTTAGGGTTTAGGGGTTGCTTCGGCTTCTGCACGATCCCGAATTATATTTTCAGCAGACCAACTGATCGAAGGCACTCCGCGCGTCAACGCGCGCGCCGGGGCGGTCCAGTTGCGCATGGCGGGCAGCGACGACCCAAAACCCCTGAAGTGCAAAACCTCTGGGTTTGGGGGGTTGGCTTCGGGTTCCCCATCCGAGACCCAGACGCCGCAACGCCCAAGCCCTGAACAAGAGAGACCTGTCTACAGCAATCACAGCAACTGAGCTTTTATTGCTCCAAGGGATCAGTTGAGGACATGCAGCTTTCGGGTTTGGGGTTTGGGGCTCCAGGCTTTGTGAGGGTTTGGGTTCAGGGTAGTTGGGGGAAAGCCTGAAGCGAGGGGCTTCGGGAGTTGCTTGGAGTTGAAAACCTTACAGCCATCAACCCTAACACCGAAACCTAACCCAAAACCCTGAATCCTAAACCCTCACCCAAAACCCAGAGTCCTAGGCCTGACATCCCACGAAGGCGAAATCGCGTCGAACTGCATAGTTAGCGCCTCTTGAAAACGATTATATTCCTCAGTAAGATCCTCTTAAAACCAACAAGAAGGGATAGACCATACACCAAGGTCCTACCTAGCGTTGGAGGCTTCACCACTTTGATTCCGAGAAGAATGCTTCATCGGAGAGCCGACGGCTCCCCTTTTCTTTCGCAGCTCCCCAGGGCCAGAAACGATCTGCACATCATGGGGAGGTCCGCAGGAAATGCGGCGGCGCAGCATCAAAGTGCACCCTTGCATCCTAAGCCTGCCTAAGCCCTAAACCCGGTTTGGGGTTTAGGGTTTGGGTTTGGGGTTTGGGGTTTAGGGTTTGGGGTTTAGGGTTGGGGTTTCGGCTTTGGGGTTTCGGCTTTGGGGTTTATGGGTTGGGGCTAAACTTTTGACCCAACTACTTACACTACTAACAGAGTTCGCTTGGATAGGAATAGGAGCACGCGCATCTCACTCTGAATCCAGCACTGCCCGCACCCCGCGCTCAGCGTAGCTCGCTGCTCGCCGAGCCTCGTCCTCGGGCCCCTGGTACCGGAACGTTGCGAAAATTCCTGGGTTTAGGGCTCATGGGGTTTAGGGTTTTGGGTTTTGGGTTCAGGGTTTTAGGTTTTAGGTTTTAGGTTTTAGGGTTTAGGGTTTAGGGTTTAGAGTTTAGGGTTTAGGGCTCAGGGTTTTAGGTTTTAGGGTTTAGGGTTCGGGTTTTGGGCTTAGGGCTTGGCTGGGTGTAGGGTTTAGGAGCTCCAGCCCCCCATCGGGTCAAGAAAACAAGCCTGATGCTTGGTGTTTTGGGGGGCCTCGTGTTTGCGAGCTTGGAGGGTCAGACCTCGGGAGACCACCTCCCCTCGATGCCCGAAACCCCGGGACCAAACTCGGAACCCCTCCTAAGACCCTATGAGGGTGCAGGACTGAAGGTTTGAAACCCAGCATCATGAGCACCAAGACAGATGCCTCGGCACTGTCGCCACAACTACAAGCAGAATCCAGCATGCCGCTCACATCTCCGGCAAAAACCGCGTGGCGAAAGGCAGATTCAATTCGAGCACGCAACAAGTCGAGTCGCCACCCTTGAGGTGAAGTGTGAAATGGCCTAAACCCTCCCTAAACCCGCCCGAAATCCAGAAAGCACACCTTAAGCCCTAAACCCCTACACCCCTAAACCCCTATAAATTCCTTGAACCCCTCACCCAAAGTCCCTTTAAATTCCTTACACCCCTAAACCCCTAAGCCTCAACCTCTAAATCCCCAAAAAGTTCTCTATACCCTTTATGATTTACTTTACGTGACCCCTAAACCCCCTAAACCCCTAAACCTCTGACACCCTAAACCCTGCACAATTTACATCTGTTGAACCCCGCAACCCCTAAACCCTACAACCCTGGGCCACTAAACCCCTGAACCCCAAACCCTAAACCCTAAACCCTAAACCCTAAACCCTAAACCCTAAACCCTAAACCCTAAACCCTTGCAGCCAGGGCTTCCGAAGCTCTCGGCCAGCGCCTCGGGCGCCGTCGCGCCGAAGCTCATGGAAGCAAAGTCGCCGCCGCCCAGGAGGTGGAAGTGAACCTGGGGTTTAGGGTTTAGGGTTTAGGGTTTAGGGTTTAGGGTTTAGGGCTGAGGGTTTAGGGTTTAAGGTTGAGGGCTTAGGGCTTAGGGCTTATGGGATTAGGGCTTAGGGTTTAGGGTTTAGGGTTTTTGTAGGGGTTTTAGCGGCTTTGCGGGTTTCGGGGCTCAGTGGTTTATGGGTTTGGGGTTCAGGGGTTTAGGCGTTTAGGGATTTACGGATTTGAGGTCTGGGGGGCTTCGAGGTGTAGGGGTTTAGGGCGTAGTGGGGCCTTTAAGGGTTTAGAGTCAAGGGGCCTTAAGTCTTCAAGGTTTGGGTTTTGGGGTTTTGGGGTTTTGGGGTTTTGGGGTTTTGGGGTTTTGGGGTTTTGGGGTTTTGGGGTTTTGGGGTTTTGGGGTTTTGGGGTTGTGGGGTTGTGGGGTTTTGGGGTTTTGGGGTTTTGGGGTTGTGGGGTTTTGGGGTTTTGGGGTTTTGGGGTTTTGGGGTTGTGGGGTTTTGGGGTTTTGGGGTTTTGGGGTTTTGGGGTTTTGGGGTTTTGGGGTTTTGGGGTTTTGGGGTTTTGGGGTTTTGGGGTTTTGGGGTTTTGGGTTCGGAGCTGTAGACATTAGCGACTCAGGCTTACGGATTTGGCAGACCTTCAACCCTAAACCCTAAACAACCCTAAACGCTATCCCAACGAGCCGTAAACCCTAAACCCGCAGCCTTGCACCCTGAGCCCCCTAAATCCTAGACCTACTGGTTCTTAGCAGGGAATGAAGTGGCTAGGGACTCTTTTGAATGCCTGCACGGGCATCTACACGGGGATAAAAGGCGCTAATTCCCTCATTATTACTAAGAACCAGCGGGCAAAAGGCAAAAACATGAGCCCTCACAGTTCGAGGTGCGATGGGGTCGGCAGCACGCCCCTCGCCAGGGAAGAAGAGATACCTCAGGTTCCGGGTTTTGAGGGTCTTTAATTAAGGTTTAGGGTTTGGGGTCCAGGGTTTAGGGTTTAGGGTATGCAAGTTCAACTCAGCCTGACAAGCTGCTAAAACAGCCGCGCATGGACCATAAGGGCAGCTCCACGAGACTGAGACAAAACCTTGCCCAGACCTTGCTGGACAAGGGAGAAGGGGCACAAGAAACAAGGGCCTGGAAGGGGCCCGGAATCCCAGTTTGGAGTCGAAAAGGTGCGTCTGGGCCAGATGTGGACGTCAGGCATGGAACAGGACGAATTCTTTACCCCTATACCGCCGCGGAGGGCATGTCGGTGCTACACTCAGGCTCCAAGAAGAGGTCAGCAAAGATGGCCCGCATGGTGGCATCCGCCGGGAGGGTGTCCCGTCTGCGAGGAACAGACCGACCATGGGAGCGGGCAATGACAACTGCAAGTTGGTCTAGCAGGCGACCATGCACAGCCGGTGCGTTGCCGGCCTCAGCGACGCAGACTGCGCGCGCAAGACGG